CCATACCTGGGGAGCTCTGGGGTGCGCTGCCCTGTCTACAGCGGAGGGAGCAGGGCCTCAGGGCCTCCACCCCACCGCCTCGGCTTCGGCCACGGCCATCCTGCAGGAGGGGCATAGCTCCTTGTCATTTCTGGGCCAGGCGCCTCCAGTTCTCCAGAGAAAGCTGAAAAGTAGAGAAGCCAGTGGCAGCAGAACCGGAAGCAGCTGGGGGACATGTCCACCAACTAGGAAAAGGGACCCCAGGGAATCTAGACGTAACACACACAGCGTCTGCTGCACGAGTGTAAAGCATTTACCACGGTCCTGGCATGTGGCAAGTGTTAAGTAATGGTAGTGAGTCAGTGCTGTGATAGCCCAGCTCCACGGAGCCTTCCTGAACCTGCCCGGGCTCCTGTTCTCCCCTCTGCCCTCTCATAGCCTCCCTTCCCTTCCCATCACTTCCCACTGGGGTTCGGGGTGTGAGTCTCCTTGTTACTCATCTCTGTGTTGCCGCAGAACTAGACGGATTCTATAAATTACTGCTGAGTTCATTAGGAAAACCCCATGTGTTTCTTCATCAGGACAACAGCTGTCAATGTCAGGCGCAGTAAAGGTCTCCCCTAAGGGCGGGTTCCTATTCCTGGGAGGTTTCAGTCTCGGGCTACTCCTCAGTGGGGCACAAGGGTTAAGACCAGGAATCGCTGCTCTGCCACCTTCCAGGTGCCTGCCCGGGGCACACCACCCACCGTCTGTCTCAGCGCCTCAGCTCTGAACTGGGAGCAGCCATGGTGTCTGCCGCACAGGTGGCTGAGAGGATTAAATGAGGTGGCCCGGGTGAGTGCTCCGAGCGGGGCTGGCACAGCGGGTGCCAGGTGAGCGTAGGCTCCGGTTAGCGAGGGCGGCCTGAAGCTGCCCGCGGGGCACACGGGCGGCCAGCTGCATNACTAGACGGATTCTATAAATTACTGCTGAGTTCATTAGGAAAACCCCATGTGTTTCTTCATCAGGACAACAGCTGTCAATGTCAGGCGCAGTAAAGGTCTCCCCTAAGGGCGGGTTCCTATCCTGGGAGGTTTCAGTCTCGGGCTACTCCTCAGTGGGGCGTAAGGGTTAAGACCAGGAATCGCTGCTCTGCCACCTTCCAGGTGCCTGCCCGGGGCACACCACCCACCGTCTGTCTCAGCGCCTCAGCTCTGAACTGGGAGCAGCCATGGTGTCTGCCGCACAGGTGGCTGAGAGGATTAAATGAGGTGGCCCGGGTGAGTGCTCCGAGCGGGGCTGGCACAGCGGGTGCCAGGTGAGCGTAGGCTCCGGTTAGCGAGGGCGGCCTGAAGCTGCCCGCGGGGCGCGCGGGCGGCCAGCTGCACGTTAAAGGCAGACAGGCGTGGCCGCGGGCCGCGGGAAGTATGCTCAGGGCCGTCCGCCTGGGCCCGAGGGTTTGCCAAGTGGAAACCTGGGAGGTAAAACCGGGAGAGCTGTTTGGGGCTGCACTCGGAAAGGGCCTGTGTTATTGGGTAAAGGGCTTGGTTCAGTCCCTGCCGGAGTTCGGGAGAGAGCACAGCAGTGGGGCTCTGTGGGGGTGACAGTCCTCAGGCTGGGACTGGCTGAGGTACCAAGGAAGCAACATGCCGCTGTGAGGACGCCAGTTCCGGTGACAGCAGAGGGGACCAGGCCCGGCAAGACACTCTCACAGTGCAGGCTGATGAAGGAACCCTCCCGGACTCAGAAGGTTCATAAAAGTGGAGGCTGGGCACTGGCAGGTGACAGTCCTTCCCGGGTCTCCCCGCCCCCCTCCTGCCTTGCAGGTTACACGCCCTAAGCAGGCGGCAGCAGAGGCAGGCCCTGGCTGAGGCACTCGCTGGCATCCTGTGGGCGGCAGGAGAAGCTCAACAGGCCACCGTCTGTCTTGTCACGGAGGACACTTACATCGCCTCCACTCCTGACTACTCTGGGGACAACTTCACTGAGCGGGTGAGTGCGGTCCTGCCCGTCCTGCCAGAGAAGGGTGGACAAAGCCTGGGCACTGGACTCAGCATGGGCATGGAGGTGGGGCCCCGTCGATGCCCCTGAGTGTCTGCTGTGGCCAGAGGCACCATCCAAAGAGGCGAGGGCCAAGGGGTGACCCAAGTGGCCAAAATAGAAGATCCTGCTACAGAATTCACCGTGGTCAAGAATATCCCTCCCATACCTGAACTCATCATAAACTCCATTTCCATGCCCACTGTCTTAAACATAGCAAAATTCTACCTGTTAGGAAATAAATCTGTTTATGGTTTTACTGCTCAAGATACTATATTGATTTAAAACCGAGGGATGTAAACGTGAGGCCAGAGGCCACCCAATTTTACCATGTATGTTTTACATGGCTGTACGTAAGAGAATGTGTCAGGCTTTAGCAATGTGATTTTGCAATGAAACAAAACTCTCCCTTGAGGTAATAACGGTGAGTTGACATCTTATAGATGTAACTTTAATCTTCCTTTTCAATTTCATCTTCTATTCCTGATTTATAGCTGCGGCTATTTGAAGTTTCAGAGAAAGACGCCACTGAGAAATTCATCTATGATCATTTAAAATGTGTAAGTGTTTAAGTCCTGAGATAATTCTTTTATGTTGAGCTGATCTTACAGGAACCTTCTTTCTTTGATAAAGTGTATTTTTAATGATGCTTGTTAAGAAAGCCAGGCCACCCTGAGGGCTCAGGAAGAGCGGAACGAGAGAAAGGAAGCCCGCCCCTCCCTCCCGCAACCTAGAAAGAGGCAGATCACACACCCGCCACTCCAAGGCTAATCAAACCCGGGAAATACTACTATTCAGGGCATATACCAAGATTTCCTTTGTGGGAAGAGAACATGTTAAAGCAGTATTGCTTCACCCAATGAATATAACACAACAGTGGTAGACAACTAAGGCTCTAGTCTGAATTGCCACAGTGACCATTCTCACTGACGCTGAGGAGATCACTTCTGCTCTGAAAGAGGTGGCCCTGTTTCACCTCTTCTGTCAGCATCTTCCACAGTGCCCTCCCCTGCAGTGGTTCTCAGCCACCCCCTGGGTGGGGAGGGGACAAAGTAAAGGACAGGAATGTTTGAAAATGGAAAGTTTTTAGAAAAGATTCATCTGTGGAGAAAGAAATGAAAGTTGATTTTCTGAAAAATTGGGACAACGGTGTGAAAGCTAAGGACCCCTGAGCAGGGTGACCATGAAGCCACACAACTTTGGGTTGTGTAGAAGGGAACTGTGGTCCATGGAACTCACTGCTCCATTTCTTTCAAAGGCTATAGGGACAGAAACCTTGGGCAGGAGTTCTCGGCCACACTAACTACACATGATCTTGGCCACACTAACTACACTAGCTCCCCTGGGCCTACGTCCCCCATCATCTCATCGTCTGTGTGGCAGGCAGAAGAATGGTCCCCCCTTATATGTTCATACCCTGGCCCCTGGAACCTGTGAATGTTACATCACGTGGCAAATGGGAAATAAGGTCACTAATCAGCTGCCTTTATAACAAGGAGAGTATCCTAGATTACCCAGGTGGGCCAATGTAATTACAAGCTCCTTATATGTGTAGGAGGAGGCAGAAGAGAGGGGAGGAGTGATGTGATGTGAGAGGAGCGTCACTGTTGTGGCTTTGAAGATGGAAAGTGGGGCCATGAGCCAAGGACTGTGGGCAGGGCCACTAAAGCTGGAAAGAGAAAGGAACTAGGCTCTCCCCTAGAGCCTCCAGAAGGAACGCAGCCCTGCTGGCATCTTGATTTTAGCCCAGTGAGACCCATCTCAGACTTCTGACCACCAGAACTGTAAGATAATGCATTTATATTATTTAAGCTACTGAATGTATAGTAATTTGTCACAGCAGCAATATGAAACTAGTAAAACCTGTCTGATAGATTTTCAATACCTGACATGAAACATTAAGCTGGAAGCCTGCTTAGAGACTGTCTTACAGGAGGGAGATGTTTAGTAGGGTTACACAGATAGACAGGAGCCATGTAGGAAAGAAACGATCCTTCCAGCTAAAAAGCTAAAAGAGGCAAACCCTTCGCTCTGTCTTCCATCTCTTCAACTCAGCCCTGGGAGAGCCTGGTTCGATAGGAAGGACCCCGCCTCTGCAAGGCTTCTCAGGAGTTGAGAATCAGGGGGCAGGGCTGAAGCTACACACAGGCTTTCCCCACAAAGGCTGAGAGTGGAGTGGGAATAGGTAACAAAGGCCCTGAGCGGAAGCCTGTGCACAGCACAGGTGGGCTCCGCACAGAGCTGCCTGCGTCAAGCAGCCCCAAGCTGACCGTCACGGGGGCACGCTGGGAAGGGCCCGCACCGTTTCCGAGCCAGGGGGCACCTGAAGCATATATGTTCCGCAGGGCACTCCCTGACCAGGGGCTGCTTGTTGTCATCAGCCCCCATTCAGACCTTCACCAACCCCCATTCACTATCAAAATGCACCCATCCTGTGACGCAGCTTAAAGCACAGATCTCAACCTTGTAGTCTGAGGGCTACATGTGAGCAGCAGACCTACTGTTATAGGTTGACTTGCACCCCCCCAAAAAGATATGTTCAAGTCCTAAATCCCAGGACCTGTGAATGTGCTCTGATTTGGAAGCAGGGGCTTTGCCGATGCAATCAAGTTCAGGTCCTGCTGGGTTGGGGGGCAGGGGTGCTAATGCAATGACTGGCATTTTTATAAGAAGGAAATTTGTGCATAGACCCAGACATTCAGGGGGAACACCCTGTGATAACAGAGGCAGGGGCTGGAGTGATGCATCCCCCAAACCAAACCAGGGATTGCCAGCAGCCACCAGAAGCTGGAAAGATCAAGGAAGGATCTTCCCCCGGGGCCTGTGGAGAGAGCGAGCCCTGCTCTGACACCTTAAGACTTCTGGCCTCCAGAACCAGGAGAGAATACACTGCTATTGTTATAAGTCATAGTTACATCAAAGCAGCTCTAGGAAAGTAATGCACCTGTATCTGAAACATTAACCCACATGGTGTTACTATTTTTTTTTTCAAATTTGAGTCAGCAACAGTCAAAAACAATCAGGAAATCCCACATAAAAACCTGGATTTTAGCTTTTCCCCCAAAATGAGGAAATCTGGCTGCTCTAGACCGATCACTTGGCACATCCTCAGTTAGCTGAGAGTGACTCCCACTAGCCAGGTTGTGACGGACTGAATGCTGTTACCTCACTGGTACAAAGGGCTTGCAGACATGGTGAAGTTTAAGCTTTTGAGATGGGAGATTATCCTGGCTTAGCCTGGTGGGCTCAATTAATCGTGGGGTTTCATAAGGAAACCGGGATGGTGGGAGGGGGAGAGGAAGAGTGTGATGCCAAAGCAGAGGGAGAAGGCTCTGTGACGTGGGATCCAGGCCAAGGAACAGGAGGCTCCCAGACACTGGCCCGGGCGGGGAACAGTCTCCCAGAAAGCCTCCGGGTGGGACGCAGGCTTGCCAGCTGTTTGAACTGGGTCCAATGACACCCAGGTTGGGCTTCTAACCTCCAGAACCGTAAATGATAAATTCGTGTTGTTTTAAGTCCCCAAGTGTGTGGTAATCTGCCCAGGCAGCGATAGGAAACAAATACACAAGCCTTCTCCAGGTTGCCTCAGCCCCAGGCCTCCCATTTCTCTCACTCACAGCCTGCAGTGCACCCATGTGGGCTCCTGGCTGGCTCCTCTGGCACCGGAATTTGTCAGGCCCTGGCTCCTATGGCACCAGAATTTGTTCTCCTGCCAGGTCACAGATAGTGAAGGTGACAAATGAATCCATAAAAGGAAAAGCACAGGCACTTTAGCCAAAGGTTTCCTGGTACAGGGCCTCTGAAGGAGGGGCCTTAGCCCTGGCACCTCCACAGCCACCCAAGAAGCCTCTTTTCAGCAGGTAGGGAATTGACAAAAAAATAAGGTAAAGCCAACAAAAGAGAGGCCCTCAGTGTTGGTTGGTCAATTTGCATTTGACCCTGGAGATCACAGGGCACCTTAGAAAGTTCTGAGCAGAAAAGCAACCTGACCGAGGAAAGAGACAGAAGTGCCTCAGAGAAGAGCAGGGGCTGTGGATCTAGCACGTTCCCGGAACCAAGGCAGGTATTTGCACTATGTGGTTTCGCTTTTGCAACAAACCTGAGGAAAAGGTATCTTTATCTGCAACTGCAGGTGAGGAGATCGAAACTCAGAGTTAGATAACTCGGAGTTAGTAAGGAGTAGAGCTGGTTCTGAACCCAGGTCTGTGTAACTCCAAGCTACTTCTATGAAGCCTCTCTGCACCCCCCTCCCCAAGTTTAATGGGGCAACCAGGAGGGATGCACTGACTGACGAGAGGCTGGGAAGGGGGGCAGCCAAGAGCAGCATGGGGACCTGGGTCAGATGGACGCCGGAAAAATGGAGAGGAAAGATACGCTGCATCTGGGCCATGATCTGGAGAGAATCACAGTACAGAAGCGGGGGAAAGAGAGAGGCTGGAAACCAAGAGAATCATGGTACCACTGGCAGGCCTGAAGCAGGACGGAGGATGCATTTGAGAGTGAAGACAGATGTAGGGCGGCAGAGAGAGCTCCAGCTGCCCTTTAAGCAGCTAGAAAGTAAATCTCTCAGGCAGTGGATCCTTGAGTCCTTGCCCACAGGTAGACAGACAGAGCTGCACTGCTTGTAGGCAAACGCACTTTTCTCTCACTTTCCAAACAGTTCAGCGGGGAAGGAAGCCGTGGTGTCATCCTGTTTCTTTACAGCCTGATCTTCTCCAGGACATTTGAAAGGTAAGTTCCACAAATATGTGCACAGTGTCCCCTATGGCCCTGGGGTCACAATAACCATGTGCTCTGCCTGGTGCTGGAAATATTTTCATGTCTATTGGAAACATGAGCACAATTTTTTTCTAGTGGACACTCTTCTGTTGATATGTCCCTTTTATAGTCAGTTTGGCCTATTAATGGGTAAGCAAATGTCGTCAGGAAAGTTTGAATCTGCTTTTCTGACAGTGGTTATAAATATTGGCAGACAACAAAGCTTATTTGTACAATTTTCACATAAAATATTGCATTATTTATATGCACAATAAAATAGATCCTCAAACATTTACTTTGCCTCTGTGCTATGCACAGGCCTATTCTTGACACTATGGGAAATATAAATAAAAGAAGACAGGGCCCTGGCCTCCTGCAGGCTCCAGTCTGGGAAAGACGAGAGGTCTGCATAGAGCCTGGGCATAGAGCCAGCTGGTACTTGATGTGCTGAATGAGGTGTGAAGACAATGAATCCAGTAGATCCCAGAGGAGGAAGGGTGCCCAGCAGTTGTGGTAGTCCAGGAGGGCTTCTTGGAAGAAGTAGACTTTCTTCTGGGCTCTGAAAAAAGGGTGGCTTTCTGAGAGATAGAGAGCCCCCAGAAGGGGAGAATTACAAGCCCCGAAGCAGTGTTCCTGAAACCTATCTTTTGAATCTCATCATCTCATTTTTGTGGTGTTTATTATTATTTACTTAAGTTTTCTTTACATTAACACACATTTAAATATCAATTTCTTCCTAAACATTAATATCCTTTAAATCATGTATTTGCTGTGCTAAAGAAAATATGTATTAAACACATCACTATAAAAATTTTTAAATGTTCATATCTATACCATCCAAAATCATGCCATGCTTTGGAAGCACTGCCCTGAACCACACCTGATGCCACCACAGCACTCACCACGCTTGTCCAGGCCTCAGGTCTTATTCACGGGAGGGCTTGACCTCTAGTCGTGCGCATAGGTTCTGTCAAGAGCACATGCAGCACTCATACCAGCTTCAGCACCTCCCTCTGGGTGGAAGGCAGGAGCCACACTGCACCTTCACTTCAACATTGTCCAGGGTAGAAACCCAACCCCTGGTCTCTGATGAAATGGGAGAGGCTGCCCTTCTGTAGCCAAGAAATGGGCTCAGCCCCCAAGCTGGTGTCTTCCACTTGAACAGTCTGTTCAATTCTGCCTTGGGCCAGCACTCTCTGGAGCGGTCATGTGTCACCACCCTAAGCCAAGCATCCCTTGTCCCAGAGCAGTTTCTCTACTGAGCCCGGCATCCAAGCACACACAGAGGGGCTCTAACCTGCGAGGCCTGTAGCTGCTCCCTTCTCCCTCACCGCTTATCACTGGCTTCTCCCACCTGCACCCGTAGCTTTCCCTGTGCATCCCCAGTCCTGAAAGCTTTCCCTGTGGGAGACGGAGACGGGCAGGGCATGTGGGAAGGACAGTGGCCAGGCGAGCCCTGTGACGGCTGCTTTGTGTTGGGTGGAGGGAGGAGAGGCTGCAGGTTCTTGGTGCAGTCATCCTCTCTGACCAAATGCTGACAGTGTCTCCCATTCTGCAGGCTTCAGAGGGACCTGGATGCCTCCACCACTCACCTGTTACAACCAAACGCGGGAGGCTTCCTGTGCAGGCAGGTAGGGTGCAGGACTTCGGCTCTTTGCTGTAGAATCTGAATTAGGGTTTTTTTTTCCAATGAAGCATATTCTCTTAAGTGAAGAGAGACGGAGTTATCTTTGAAAGACTAAAATGCTACCCTGCGTTTTTTAACAGATTCTACCTTCCAGTGTCCACTACAGTCCTTTCTAGTTCACCTCTGAGAGCCCTATATCCCTGAGATTCTAGAAACAGTAGAAAATATCTTTTTTTCCTTTTTATTGAATGTATTGGGGTGACACTGGTTAACAAAATTATACAGGTTTCAGGTGCAGAATTCCACAACATCATCTGTACACTGTATTATTTGTTCACCTCCCCGAGTCAAGTCTCCATACATCCCCATTTATCTTCCCTATACCCTCCTCCACCTCCCCAAAATATCTTGCCAAGATCCACCAGGAATCCCTAATAACTGAAATAAAATTACTATATAAACATCTTAAATGCTTCTTAAATGCTAACTGTGAGAACCAAAGTTTAAAAGAAATGTAAAGGGCGGTGAGCAATAGGCTCCCAGTGGGGCTCATGGGTAGTTATGGGGTATGGCTCAAGAAACTACTGTTTTAACCCTACAAATGTTCACAACATTACACTTTCCCAGAATTACATAGTGTGTGATTTCAGTAAAAATGGTCATTTTTAAATGATTTTTAAAAGAAATCGAGTCCCTGTGTCATTGCTACTTAAAATGTCAGTATTTGTAAACTATGTCACCTAGGCAGTTCTGAACATGATTTTAACTGGAAGAGCACATCCAAATGTCTTCAACGGCTGTCAGGATGGGAAGTCTCAGGAACCATTACGCGGCGTCCTGGAGCGCAGCGAGGTCGGCTACCTGCAGTGGGGTAAGCGCACCTCGGAGGACGGGCCTTCCCAGGTGAGTGTGTCCCGATCCCAGCCACACGACCTGAGTGCCACTAGTTGACATTTTTAAGCCCTTATATTGAGGCAGTTCAAATATGAGCTCACCTTTACTCCTTTCCTGCATCCCTCCTACCCACCACACACTCACACACACACGTGCACACATGCAAATGCACACGGACACATGCACGCACACAGAGACTTTCAGAATCTAAACAGAAATATCCAACTCTACTTGCTTCAGAGTTTATTTTATGTATTTTATGTTTATAGCGTAGAGGTAAATACAAATAATATGCAAATTTATTTTTTATAAAACACACCTTTTATATACAGATAAAAGGAAAGTCCCCTGGCATCCCCACCCAGCTGCGGGCCCCCTTCTCAGAAATCAGTGCTGTCAGTAGCTGATGGGTATCTTCCCCCATCCTTTATTTATGCAGATGAGTGAATATATTCTATCTGTTGCTCAAACTATCCCTGAGAGTAAAAGGGGACCCACTGGGTTATTTTATTTTTCAATTACAGTTGACAGTGTATTTTACGTTAGTTTCAGGTACATAGCACAGTGCAGGGAGCCCACTTGTGAAACTCCTCTCAGAAGCTTTCCCGCTCAGGGGCTTTACAGCCTCTGACAGCTGGAAAGTAGAACGTGCAGCTGAAAAGTGCAACGAGAATTCAGTAACGCCAATCCACAGAGCAGACAGCAGACAGGGAGAAGGCAGGTATTCTCACCCAGACACAAATCAAAGGTGCTTCTGTGCTATTTTCACAAAAATGTTCATCCTGAGGCCCAGGGAAGGCAAGGCAGGCTCTGTGAAAAGCATCGAATTCTCTGGAGTGGCCTTAAGACTAGCTGGGATGGGATCCAATATGACGGTGACAGAGCTCCCCAGGTCTCACTGTCCCCAGCCTCTCCGGACCACAAGCACCAAGGAGGCCCTGTGGCTCAGCGCCTGTCCCGTCCCTCGTTCCCTGCCCCAGCCCATGACCCGTCGTGTGTGCAGGGCCTCACCCCTGACAAGTCCTCTGCACCCACAGGGCCACCCACCCTCCCTCCTCCTGGTGCCTCCCGCTGCGAGTTACAACACATGCAGACCGTGCGGCTGACGGCGTCGGGTCAGTAGTGTGTGTGACTATAGCAGAATTCGTATGTTTTTTGTACAAATGGGTTTTAAGGCTTTGCTTATTATTCCGAGGGTTTAAAATCTAGGCTCATCACAGAAAAACAGACGTAACAGAGAAGCTATAAACAAAAACGACGACCCCAAACCCATCACTGAGGGGGCAATCCTTTCAAAACTGCCTCCTCCTTTTCTTTCTAATATAAGTACATTCCAGTCTACTCTCCTGAAACCTGCTCTTCTCGTTTAACACAGATAACTTTACATGGCCATGAATATGTGGCCCTCGTTGTATTTAATGGATACAAAGAGCTCCACTGTGTGAAAGGGTGGCAAGGACTGGGCTTGGCATGCACCCTGCGCACAGACTGGGGCTGTTATTCTCGAAAGTCCCTAAGCACTTCCTCCAGATATCTGGGAACAATATGTGTGTGTGGGGGGGGGTATAAAAGAGCTAGGAAAAGTAACAACATATACATATATATGTAACAATATATGTGTGTGTGTGTATATAACAACCAGGAAAAGTAAGCCAAAATAGGGAGGGGACTTATAGATTTCATTTTACTTTTTTTTTTTCTTTCAACTATGCACGTGGTGTCCATGGTCCAGTGCCCTATCAGAGCCCAGTAATGTGCTGAGACTCAGTTTGGAGGAAAACGGCAGGACACACTGGGAGGGTTTCAAGGAGTGGTGGCAGGAAACCCACAATAACAATTTAGTGCTTTGTCTATTATTACAAAGATCTTTTACAATATTATTTCAATATATCATTATAAACTATAAAGATTTAAAACAGTGTTTCTCATATTTCAGTCATTTGAGTGGGTAACTCACAAGCTTTGTCACATCTCCACACCACCTCTGCGATTATTTCCTTAGTATTTTTCTCTAAATCAACTCCCTTTTAAAAACCGAATTAAAAAAAAATTGAATCTAGCCTTTTCTACAGCAACAATACAAGCCACGGACTTGATGTGCTATTTTCTTTCCTAATACATATTTAAATAAATAAATGTTTCGTTTTCAAAGTTGATCGTTTGTGCCACTGACTTCATGCCACATGCCACCAGTGGGCACTTGCTCCACACTTGGAAGCCTGGTGTAAAAGTGAGGCAGTTCCGCAGCATGTCAGAAACAGCTCATTATTTTATGATAAACGTAATACATAACTCATCTATAATATTAAAATAATTATATGTACACTAATTTTACATGTATAATAATTTTATATTTTTTCACCATCCTTGAAAATGGTAATTAAGAAAGTGCAGCAGATCCTTGGAAAATGCTGTTTCATTCAATGTCGTTTAGTTACAGCACTGAGATGCCACAGGAATTTAACTTGTTTTTATCAGCTAGTCTACGCTAAAACAGGTCTCACTGTATGTCGTTTTGCCTCAAGTCTCAGACCCTATGGAGGGCGTTTCAGTGACGACCACTGTGTCCATGGAGCTCACTTTCTCGCTGTTGTGCTCACTCGCCTTGGTGCTGGGCCCTGTCAGGGCCACTGGCAAGGACACCTTGTTTTATTTAACCCTCACTTCCCCTCAAAGTTACAATCAGCGCGAGTTTAAGTCCAGCGTCTGTTGTTCGGTCGTTCATTGAGAAACGAGAAACTCCAGGCTGAGGACAGCACAGGTCAGTGTCAGAGGCAGGCTGGTGACTCGGGATGTATCTGCATGGAAGCCCACCTCCAGGCGCTGTGCCACGCTGGCCGTCATTAGCACCCTTACCTGTCTTCTGACAAACGGTAAATACAAAATGCCCATCCTTGGAATTCTACTCTAAGTGCTTTCATAGTCTATCACGTCTATACCATTTCACGTAGGTGCAAACTTATATTCCACAATGTACAGCATCTATCATAGGTGCACCGAAGTCGTACAATAAGATTTTGGTGGTGGTAAAATCGTGCCCAGGTTTTAGCACGGATGACGGCTGTGCCCAGCCAGCGAGAACGTTATCTGTTGACTTCCAGGTGAAAGCGCTCGTGAGTCTGGGTGGCTTGTGACCTGCAGGTACTTGGGGCCACTCTCTGTGAAGCCCCTTTTGCCTGCTGGTTTGGCAGACCACCTGTCAGCTGCATGCTCCTGGGCTCAGTGGCACTCAGGGCGCCCGAACCAGGAGGCCCGCCCGACGCACTGTATCCAGACTCTATTGCACAATATCTGACCACAGAACTGAAACACCCTGCACAGCAGCATTCTGCTCAACAAAGAACCAGCTGTGATTCCAGAACAGTGCCCTAGGTATCACCAGATTGAAGCCCGCACAGCCACCCCCCGCCCTTGGCTCTGGGACAGGGGGACTCCATACAGGAACCATGAGTATGCCAACTGGGCATATAAGCGTTTTATGGGTGTTTAGGGGCTCCTGCCTCTGATGGGTGCTACCAATTGAAAGATTAAATGTATGCACTGAAAATAGAAACCTAATATAAGAAAGGATCTGAGCTGGAAAGAAAACCGACCGATTCTGCCGAGGTGAACCCCGTCCTGCCAGCTGTGTCTCTTCCCCAAGCCTCACTCTGCGGGAAAACTGCAGAGGCTCCAAACACACGCCTTTCAGTCCCAGTGTCACAGCCCAGTGGGTGAGATTTAAAAATTTTTTTTAAAAAGCAGCTCTCGTTAGATGAAATGGCAAGCCCCCCTGAACCCCCCCCAAACTGGCAGGCGCGGAGCGCAGCCCGCTACCCGCAGGACGAGGCTCTGGCGGCAGCCTCCCGCCAGTTTCCTATTCGAAGGTCCGGGTCCGAGCGTGAGGCCCCTGCACCTCAGTGAGAAGGCACAGCGTCTGCATCCAAGGGCCTCTGCAAAGCCCTAGGAGGTCCGCGTTCTCCTCGCGCCTGCACCGAGAAGAGAAACCGAGGCTGCTTTCCGAAGGGACCGAAGGCAGCGGGGCCTGCCGGCCGATGCCCCCCAGCCTGGCGGACACGGCGTCCCGGCTGCGCCCCCTCCTTACATTCCCCTTTAAAGAGCCTGACGAAACTCCAGCCACAAACGTACCGACGCAGCTGCGCCCGCACCCTGCTCCCACGTCGCCGTCGCCGAGGAACGTCCTGCGCACCCGCCAGCACCCCGCCCACGCGCGCACAGACACCGCGGGACGTTCCGGCGCAGAGACGGAGCCAGCGCGTTACCGGGACGCGCGCATCGTCCGCGGAGTCAGCGAAGGAAGCGCAGGGTTCCGACCCGGTCCTGCTCAGGTTCCCAGCCCATAGNGAACCCCCCCCAAACTGGCAGGCGCGGAGCGCAGCCCGCTACCCGCAGGACGAGGCTCTGGCGGCAGCCTCCCGCCAGTTTCCTATTCGAAGGTCCGGGTCCGAGCGTGAGGCCCCTGCACCTCAGTGAGAAGGCACAGCGTCTGCATCCAAGGGCCTCTGCAAAGCCCTAGGAGGTCCGCGTTCTCCTCGCGCCTGCACCGAGAAGAGAAACCGAGGCTGCTTTCCGAAGGGACCGAAGGCAGCGGGGCCTGCCGGCCGATGCCCCCCAGCCTGGCGGACACGGCGTCCCGGCTGCGCCCCCTCCTTACATTCCCCTTTAAAGAGCCTGACGAAACTCCAGCCACAAACGTACCGACGCAGCTGCGCCCGCACCCTGCTCCCACGTCGCCGTCGCCGAGGAACGTCCTGCGCACCCGCCAGCACCCCGCCCACGCGCGCACAGACACCGCGGGACGTTCCGGCGCAGAGACGGAGCCAGCGCGTTACCGGGACGCGCGCATGGTCCGCGGAGTCAGCGAAGGAAGCGCAGGGTTCCGACCCCGTCCTCCTGCTCAGGTTCCCAGGCTAGTGCCTGGGGCTTCCCATGTGGAGCCCGCTAGGCGAGGGCTCGCTCTCAGTGCCCTGGCTCTCGGTGGCCTGGAGGAATCGCAGGCGCTCAGCTCTTGCCCCCTCGTGTTCGCGTCCCTCCGTCCTTTCTCTGGTCCTGCTAGTTGGACGTTGGCTTGAACGATTCATGTCATGAAAGGCTCGGTTGCCGCGTGCAAGGCTGAACCCACGGGGCTTATTACACAATGAGTGAACTTAAGGAGGAAGGTGTTTATTTATAGCAACACTGTATCACAATTTAATTTCCTCTTTACCATGGCAACGTGAGGCAGCGCGCACAAATTCTGCATTGGTGGAACCTCACCAGGAAAACATATTTAGACTCCTGCTTTGGAGGGACGGGAGGGCTGATAAGCTGCCTAAAAGCAATACAAATTCTTGACTGAAAACTCCAGTCAGAAGGATTACGTGGTCTGCCAAGTAAAGAAGGGGGTGGAATATCTAGCTGGGTTCATCTGGGGGTGTTTTGCAGGCCTGACCGTAAGTTAGGTGTTTCTCAGCTGTAACTGGGAGGTTAGCCTCTTGGAGTTAATACCCAAAGTACTGCGACAGTCACGCATGACATTTTCCTTCTCACCAGAATCTCCTAAGGCAGTGTGTCCCTGGGTGGCCACTCTGGGGGTTGGAGATTGCTGTATTTACAGCTTTATAGCTGACTCTTGAAGGACCTGGGTTTGAACTCCACAGTCCACTTATATGTGGATATTTTTCAACCTGGTTATAGCAGTAAACTTACTCTATGTAATACTAAACGAGTACATTCGGCTCCAAGTACATCTTCACAATTGATCTGTGTGTTAACATACAGGTATGTGTATATATATGTGAGTGTGTGTGTGTGTGTGTGTGTGTGTTCACCTCATTTCCCAAAAGCTTTCTTCTGTATTCAAAATATTCTAGCCCTGGCCAGGTGGCTCAGTTAGTTGGAGTGTCATCCAGTATACCAAAGGGTTGAGGGTTCAATCCCTGTTGGGGTGTGTAAGGGAGGCAGGCAGCTGATCGATGTTTCTCTCTCACATCAATGTTTCTCTCTCTCTTTCCTTCTCTGTCTCTCTCTCAGTTCCTCTCTCTCTAAGGTCAATAAACATATCCTTGGGCAAGGATTTAAAAAATATATTCTGTATTTCTAAATCTTTTCCCCATATTCTAAGTGGTTAGTGTTGCTGGAAGCCTGACCACCTGCTGAATGTAGCCTGTCCTAGCTCGGGAACAGCAGTCATTACGCTAGTCAGTAGCAAGGACAAACGGAAGCCCCTTATTCCACCCCTCCATCTAGATTTCAGTTTACCTATGTGCTCTCTACCTCATTTCAAAACCAAACCAAGGTGTTTCCACCTCCTCGGTGAGGCCACCCTCAAACATTTTTAAATAAAAATCCATTAAGAGAAAACTGCAGCATGACCAGCAGAACACACCATTCATAAATTAAATTCACTCATGAAGCTTATTTCCAGTCTCCCTTCGGCGCGGGGCCCTGCACAGCTCCCGGCGCAGGGAGGCGTCTCAGAGCTGCGTTTTGATCATGAGCTTCGGGCACGAAGTCGGTGAAATCTGTTTGTCCATCTGCGTTTGCTCCTTCCCTCCCAGGTGGGCAGCATGCTGAAGACCCCCAGGTTACCGATTTGGCTGTGCGACCTCCGTGGAAGTCACGGCGTCCTTTTCAGCACAAACAGGCAGCTCTTGTCAGACTGGAAAGCGGAGCGGCTGTTTGATCTGTACTTTTACGGTGGGCAGCCCTCCGAGAAAAAGGCCGCCCGCCTGACAGTAGGTGAGCATTTCAGACTCTGTGGGCCGTGGGCTTTAATGTGCCCGAAGGGACATCTAACAGCTGTGTGGACACTCATGCTAGGTCTGCAGGAGACTGCCCAGGCTTGACCTCGGAAACCCTGGGGAGTCCCACGGGCCTAAACCCCAGCACTAACCCGGGAATTCTAAGCCTGCTGTAAATAAGACGAGGGGTAGAAGGAGCACAGAGGGACAAATAACTTCTGGGTTAACGAAAAAACAAAAGGTGAGCGACATTTAATGCCTGAGGAAGGAACCAGAAAAACACATGAAGTGGGAGGAGGGGGTTCCCACTGGCCGATTCTATCCCACAACCCAACATCAGATGATCATCCTGAGACGTAAGGAACCCACCCGATGGTGTGTTTCTGCTCAGATTAGTTCACAAAGCCTTTATGAGGGCCTCCTAAGTGCCAGGGTCCGTGCTAAACACCAGGAAAGCAACAAAACTAAGGCACAGTCCCATAAACATCAGGAGGTGCTAGTCCAATGGGACAGGCAGACAACCACGTGGGTCATTTCGTTGCAATTTCAACCACTTTTTTTTTAACTCATGAGGAAAAAAGACTAACCTTAAGATGACTTTAAACACTTTGGACAAGGAAATATAAGCGATGAGAGTGGAGTCTGTCTCCGGCAGCTCGGCTTCACTGAGGGAGCCTTGTCAGTGTCACCTCTGGCTCTGTATCCACATCACAGGCCTGCTGATTATTATGACTAAACCTAGAGAAGTATCTTAGTGACTGATTTATCTGTGCAGCTCCTAATTCTTATTCTTTAATTATGAGAAATATATATTAACCCATTTAATTTAGTGGAACATTGACAATATGTTCCTTAAAATATATTATCGTTTCTACTTTACTGTCTTCTTTGAGGAAAGCATCATGTTTTATTAGCTCACATGGTTGGAAAGTGTTCTGTTCTGGGCACTGCACGGAAAGCTTTGCATTATCCCATCACATTCTCCCACCAGTCATATGAGGTAGATTCTATGATACCTGTTTTTATGCAGAGGAAAATGAGATGGCCAATAGTTACTAAGTGAGTAAATGAGGCTGAGAGATGTTCAGTACCTTCTCAAATGTTGCATGAAACAAATCTGGGCCTTGAACCCAGTTCTTTTTTTTTTTTTAATGTTTTTATTGATTTCAGAGAGAGGAAAGGAGAGAGATAGAAACATCAATGATGAGAGTCATTGATCAGCTGCCTTCTGCACTCCCCTTACTGTGGGGATGGAGCCTGCAATCCAGGCAAGTGGCCTGACCGGGTTCATAGGTCGATGCTCAACCATTGAGCCATGCTGGCCAAACTGAACCCAGTTCTTGATTTTCTATCTAGAATACCTTGCTCTTCACCCCCAAATGCAAATGTACCCATAGAGGCACTGAGAGGTGATTGCTTTCCCCTTTCCCTGTTTTTCCTGACAACATCTGGTGACCTCCACCTGGCTGTGTTAGATCATGGTGTTGCCACATGCATTACATGACTTACCAATATCCATGTTCCAAAATTCACGACAGCCCAGTTTTTCCACGTGCCATCCCCCTCTGCTCACCCGGTTCTAGGAGCACGCTTGCTGAGCCCCGCTCCTGCCCACCCATCCCGTTTGCCTTCCTTCCTGGCTTCCCCTGCAACGGTGTCCATAGGCTGGGTCTAAATGCTGGCTGTTCCTCCCTCAGATACTCACTCCCATCACTGGGAAAGGGACCAACGTGAAGATGACCATGGACTAGGAAGACGGTTTTCTCCAGTGGAGATGGCAATCAGAACCAAGTGGAGGGAGGCCACTGTCAACTGGAATGGAACCGCCCCCTATTTCTAAAGAGAAAGCCAGGATGTGCAATGAAGTGTCAGAATGCTGAGATACAAAGATTAATTCAGGGGGGAGATCATTTCACATCTACATTGCCCACAGAAAACCCCATTAGCATTTTTTGTACTGTGTTAAGCCCTCTCCAGTTGCTTTCGGTGTGGTAGGAGAAATAGGGGCCTTACAGCAGGGCCTGTGAGGTGCATCCTCTATATCCACATAGACTACTTCTTTCATTTTATTCTAGAGAAAATGAAGTCTGTTTCCCGCATGCTATTTCCAAATTAGTCCTTCTTGGTGCGAGTCCCCCACCAAGGATTAAGGAGTGGGTGGCTAGCTTTCCCTTGGGGTGAAGTCATTGGTAATGCATCAGACTTTTAGTCATGACAAGAACTCAGGCCTTTCAGACCTCCTGGGATTGAGAGCATGCCTTTCCAAGGCTGTATTCATGTGCCCATATTAGCAAGGTCTTGTCATTAAAATAGTAAATGGGCTTTGTTGGGCTTGATGTGGATAGTGTCTGGTGGGCTGGCACCCAAAGCCATGGACTTGTGGGTTCAAGCTAAGGCGAGCACACAGGAGATATCCTTTCTCTCAGTGCTGTGTGTTTCTTTTCTTTATAAGCTGGATACAGATACATCCATAGACAGAGAGAAATAAGTCTGATTCCTAGATAAAACTAAATTATATATAAAAATAAAATCTCTTCTTGTGTCTTTTTTTTTTTTCCCTTGGTCTGTGTTAAGCCCTCTGCAGTTGCTTTCAGTGTTGTAGGAGAAACAATTCTTTTTAGAATCTGACCTTCCCCTGTCGAGTGCCTACACTTTTTCTGAAGAAATACACAGGGTAAGACATATATTCTTTCTAAAGGAGCACATAGGAGCCACCAAACCTTTTCCCACCCACCCCGCTGGCCTCCAACTCACACACTTAGGGCTGTGGATTCACAAGCCAAAGATTAGTTCATAAAAACAACTTTCTGCATGTATTTTCCAAGTTAATTTGCTAATGCATTTTCACTTAGCTCCAAGAAAAATGTTATAACTTAAGGAGCATGCAGAAAATGAAACTTCAAGGTGGATAATAAATTATGTTAAATGAGAAAGCCAATTTGGCGTGGATTGCTGATTACAGTATCTCTATCATGGGTGTTTTCATTCGGGATGTGAAATACATCAGAAAAATGAGTGAATCCCTACAGACCTTATCTCTTTTGGTCTCAGTTTAGCAATATTGTGTTTTTCCGGAGGTGCAGCCTGTTTTTGTTTTAGGGACACTGAGTTATTTCTAATGAAATGTCCCTTTTGGAGTGACTGCTGGAAAGCTTATTGCCAGATGAGAAACCCCAGCAAGCGCGTCAGTGAGAAAGCTCCCAGCCACAAGTAAGAGATCTCGCTACAAGTGTCTCACACAACAAGGACATTCCTTTCTAGCAAAAATGGTCCAGCTAGGGGTCCATGACTCTCTTAGACCAGTTCACCCTCTAGGGCTGAGCTCAGCATACTTGATTCCCGTAGAAGGAAGGGCAGGATGACTGTTGTGTAGACACCCAGCCTAGCAGTGTATTAGTTCTTACAACATTTTTAAATTGACCTCATTTCTGAATTTATTTTCTGTCCCTACTCTATTTTCCCTTTGAATTTTTAGCTTATTTATAATACAAATTATTTTGCCATATTTTTTAGGTTGTTGTACTCTGTCTTAAATTATTCTTGGAACAAATCTATAAATAAGTAAAATAATACAGGAAAGATTAGGTATCTATGTTTTATACATAAAGGTATAATAATTTTGATGTATAAAGGTATTAATAACTTTGTATGTCAATGTTCAATAAAAATAAGTTTTTATTTTATCTTATAAACAGGGCACCCAGTAATAATTGAAATTTTTTAAGGTAAAAACAAGTTATTTAAAAGAAGCTGGAAATTCCCTGGGACCATCAGTTCACCTTTGAACTTTCTGTTTTGAGAAAAATGACTTTCACTGTCCTTTCAGCTTTTCAGACACAGAGCAGAAGAAAGCCATTTGCTTGAATATTGAGATAATAATTTTTCTGAATAGTTACCTAACCTGACTGTGTCTTTAGTGGGACGACACCCTAAAGGAGATGGCAAATACTTTTCTTTCACAAATATTGGCTTGGACTGGAATATCCCTCAAAATCATTGTTTGTTCTTAAAGAAGACACGTGTGACATTTTCCCAGGTGTATGCTCACCAATGTCAGGCGACCAGGTGGGCCCAGGCCAGGGAGCAGGCAGCCCTGAGGTCCCCTGCACCTCACACTGGCTGGGTTCGGCTTCGTCCTATCCAGGTTTCGTGCAAACTTTAGTCACACCTGGACCTGATTGTATTTATAAGTGAGTAACACAGACTATGGACATTGTTGTAATTGCCTTGCCAGGGCCCTAGAGATACAACTGTTCATTCATTCATTCATTCATGGAACTTTTTAAACCTCTCCTGTGTGCCAGGTGAAGGCTGGAGAGACAGTGAGCAAAACCAACCACAGCCCCTCTTCTCTCCTGGAGCAAAGGCTCTACTGAGGCGGCGATGATGATGATGATGATGACAGAACACTTTAATGAATATAAACTTGAAAACTGACACAAGGGTTCAGAGGGAAGGGATTTCTGATGAGTAATATCTTGCAATAAAAGCCTGGAAGTTTAGGAAACGGCATCTCTGAGGAACAGACAGTCAGGCTGAGGTAGAGACGACTAGGGCATGGGAAGAGGGACACAGTGCAAGTCCCGGGGGTGAACGAGCCTAGAGGACAGAGAAGCCGGTGGGGCTGCAGCTCGGAGAGCAAGGTGGGGGGTGGCAGGGAGGCAGCTGGAGGGCGGGTGAGGACCCGCCACAGGCAGCGTAGACCAGGAGGCCGGGCAACCTCGGCAGGGTTCATGTGGCCTGGCAAGATCTGCATTTTGAAAAAATGGCTCAGTGTGGACAGTGGGTTGGAGAGAGCCCAGGATCGATGCAGAGGCTACTCAGAAAGCGCCAGCAGTGTCTCGGCAAGACAGGGCCAGAGCAGAGCGGCTGCAATAAGCCTAGAGCAAAGTGGGCCACTCAGGAAATACCGCTTGGGGGGAAAATAGGTGAGGGCAAGGGACTGATTGCAGGGGGAGGAAGATGAAGGACTCAGGAATGGCTTTTAGGTTTCTGGTTTGAAAGCCGGTGGCTGTGCCCCCACTGGATTTGAAAACACTGCAGAATAAGAGGTCTTGGGCAGGACCACCGATGCGGAGAGGCAGGGTGGTGCATTGGCATGAAGGCCCTGGGACTCAGGGCAGAGGTTTGGACCAGAGAAATACGTGTTGGAGTCACTGCTAAGTAACAGGATGGTCTAGAATAAAATTGCCTGGGGAAGCTGTGAAGCAAGAAGAGAGCTGGGCCTACAGCTGAGCCCCGAGGAATCCCGGCATCGCAAGTCAAGTGAGGTACCTGACGAGTAATAGCCTGGAAAAGGGGGCAGAGAAGACGCAGCCAGGTACAGGAGGTGGCCGCCAGGTGATAGCCAAATAAAAGGTGTGTTCAAGCTTCTGGTTGAGGCCCAGAGCTTCTGCAACCTGTGGGAAGTTTCTCTCTATAATGAGTGAGTGAATGATTTTCAATCTGACTCTTTGTGTTAAAATCAATCAGAGGATTAAGTGTAATTATTTATTCAATCCAGCCAGTTATTTGCAGGATACCCAGTTTAACTTTAACTCTATTGAATGTATTCATATTCCATGTCCTTCCAGAAGGACTCAGGGTGGCTGATAGCTGGTAAACCCTCTGGAGAACTTCGTATGTCTTCCAGGTTTTTGGTTACTGAAACCAACTTAAGAAAACAAACCAAAAAAAAAACACACCTACTTCTCACTACTGTCCACAAGGTGGTGCTATTAGAGTGACTTCTTTCAATCTCATTATCCAACATAATTACCAAAGTAAATACGGGCACTTTAGTCACAATACACACACACACAAAGTAAATAACTATAAAATTGATGTAATGGATATTTAATCTTTGTGATGCTTAGAATTGGTGTCAGTAAACATGGTGAGTAGGATTGATCTAGCCTAGAGTCTCCCTCTCTCCTCCACTCCTATGGGGACAGCGAGAACTATAAACATTAACCAAATAGGTCCATGTGCACCACCCCTTCCTGGTACAGGCACCACTGTCTCTCATCTGGACCTTTAAAACGTCCATCCAAGTGCTCTCCATTTTCCCCATCCAATCCTTTTTCAACAAAGCAATCGGTTCTCTTCTAAATTTTTAATCTGATCATAGTATAGTCATTCATATTACAGTCATTTTTATGTACTTCGGACCAAATGCCAAAATCTTAACATGATTTACGAGAGCTTCTAAGATATAGCTCCTGACTCATCTTGTGCCATTCTCCTCCTCTTGGTGCTCCACCCAAGCCAAGGCCACCCCCAATTCGAGGGGCTTTGTACAGGCCATTCCCTCTGCCCACAATAATCTTCACCCGTATGTTCTTCAGATCTCTGCTTAAGAAGCACTTCGTCAGGAGGGCCTTCTCGGTGAGCATCCCCCATCCAGTAGGACTCCCGGGTCCTCTCTCAGCACTTTGTACCTCCCTACATCACTCACCATGGTTTCAGTTATGCACTTATGTGTATGCTTATGTGTTAAGTGCCTACTACCCACTAGACAGTGGTTCCCAAACCTTCTGGTCTCAGCACCATTTCTGCTCTTAAAAATTATCAATAACCTCAAAGATCTTTTGTTTACTTACTTGGGTTATATCTATTAATATTTATTCTGTTAGAAATTAAGACTAAATTGTTAAATGTTTATTAATTCATTTAAAATAACAATAATAAAAACTATTACATATTCATCTATTATTTTATATTTTTAAAAAACAATCTTTTCCAAAAAACTTAGTGAAAAGAGTGGCATTGTTTTACATTTCTGTAAGACTGTTTAATGGCCAACTTAATATGAGACAGCAATATTCTCGTACCTGCCTCTGCATTCAATCTGTTGTGATA